CCCTCACCTGGACCCGCCCCTGCTTTCTGTTATATATATATATATGAGCAATCAATACGAGAGACGATCTCAAATATATAAATCTCGTCAATTTCATTTACATTATTTCTTTCTCTTTACGTGAACTTGAATCTAATACGGTCCTTTGAAACGGATTCGAGTAAACATTCATGTCTATAAAGAAAGAGAGCAGAGAAGTACAGGACAAAATTATTACAAAACAGAGCCGCTTACAGCGTGTTAACTCATTCACCCCGAAGACACATTTGAACTCTTCCGACGAATCAACAAGTTGTTCCTAACACTCCGTTTAGTAGTTTGGATATCATTGCTTATTGCTGCATTAATTCCGTGTCGGTCATCTCTTTCTATTCCTGTACTGACCCTTCGCCGTTCTAATTTGTATGTCACAAAGAATTTTCGCTTTCTATAATTACTTTTTCAATTTCAAGTTAAACTTTATTTATTTACAAACATTACAAAACACGAAACTCACTTTGTGATATCCTTTCAAATGTCGTCGTTTGTATCATGGAAGAAGCATAGAAAAATCATGAATTGGCATACATAATCATATCATAACCCACATTAACAGGCCCTCACAAGAGGCATTTTTTAAAAGGGCGGCGAGGTATGAACTACTGACCGCATAGGCATTGACAGACGATGTTTCTTATTCAGATACACAGTTTAAATTCACTGAGCCAAATGCAATTCGGGTATTATATCGACTGCTACTTTTAAACACTCGATAGTGGAGTTATTTGAATAGCTTTAAAATGCAGTATGCACTGTTCATGGTTTTTGTTTTAAATGTTTGTATGTGTGTTCTGTCGCTACTCAGTATAAACAGGGCCATTCAGTCTGAGATAGGGCCGGCTTATTATCTCAGTGACATTTGTATTTAACAGGTAAAGAGGACGCCCAGTTCTCTCTCCACAATGTCCATCTGAAGCATCCGTGGCTGATGGACATCGTCTCGCATCCAAAACTGCTCCACCCAGTCCGGCAGATCCTGGGACAGAACATCGTCCTCCTCGACTCCCGGTTCTTCTGTAAATATCCGGAAACAGAATTGTCCAAGCCCAACGGATCTCCGTTTGTCGCGTGGCATCAGGACATCAGGTAGGAATTTTCTCTGAAAGTCATCTAAAAAATTGCAAATAGAAATATTTAAAATTATTTTGCAAAAAAAATAAAACATTTGAAAATAAACAATGACGTAATGAATTCTTTAAGACATATTTACCAGCCGGGCAAAACAATCCAATTTAACTAGTTTGTCTGTATTCGCAGATACTGGGGAGTGGAGGGTGAAGTGGTCACCGCCTGGCTAGCCGTGGATGACGCTGATTCGGAGAACGGATGCATGTGCGTCATACCTGGTACGGCCCTTTTGGTTGTTGTCTGAGGATAAATTAATCATCATTATTCCCATTTACTGGTATGCAATTTGTACATGAATTAAATTCATTGTCTTCGTTATATTCTGAAGGTAAGACATATATATACATTTATATATTTCTAATAACCATCAGTGAATAGCCTGACACACACCTTAATTCTTACTTCCGGTTTTGTAATTGCCAGGCACGCATACTTTGGGAATACTTCAGCACAAGACTGCTGAGGAGGAAGGTAATCTGTTGTCATCCAACCAATCCATTCCAACCCACCTGTTTGACGTCACGAAGTCTACTCCCTGTCCGGTCAACGCAGGACAAATGTCTCTTCATTCCGGCCTCCTTGTACACGGAAGTGACCCCAACAGATCTACTCGCAGGCGTTGTGGCTACGTCGTAAGATACGTTTCCACAGATGCTAAGCCAATCCAAGACCCTGACAGACCAAGATCATTCCCAGCAACCGTTGTAGTAAGCGGCGTTGATGAACACAAACATTTTGAGGACCACAGCCCTCCGTGGTTCTCCATTCAGGCTGTCACTTCGTGAAATATTTAAAGAACTGTATTTCGCTTGTTGTGATGCTGAACGCCATGTTTATATTTTTGAGGGTTTAACTCCCGCTATATTTTGGTGAATTAATAACATTATCTATTCAGTTACTTTTAGTATGTTTGCTTAAAAGGTGTTGTGTTGGAGAAGAGGGCGTATTTCCAATGAAGTAATCCTTTACAATGTGTGCATGTATACCTGCGAATGACAATCAACGTTTATATTCCAGGGGTAACAAAAGTGACGAGGGGTATTTTACATTGTGTATTGTCTGCTACAACTAATATTGCTTAAATTGTTACCGATTTTTGATCACACATTTGTTGTTATTGTATTTATTAAAACACTTTTTTTTTATTATAAAACCGCTTTTGTGATTACTCAGATTCTATAGTACTATGATATTATCTCGTGGTAGTAAGAAGTCTAAACAATACTAAAATTGACATGGACTTATTTCTCCCAATCGATGAAACTAAGGGAAATATATATATCTATATATTTAAGAGAACCTTTGTGAAGTAACTGAACAATATGACGATGTAGAATAATGTTGAAGAGTTAGCGACTTTTGGTCTGTCGCCGATATCCGCGTGTCGTCAAGTAGTGTTTTAAAACCTAAGTAGTAAGGGACATCTTAAACATTGCCATTCATATCGCTCAACGTAACAGAAAATCTCATAATGATAAAATGATGGCTAAATCATGAACCAACGACCTGCATCTCTCGAAAACAAGTTTTTGCGAATATGAATCGACAGGTTTTTAACTGCATTGTCATCTTTGATACTTTTTGTGATTTTTCAAGGGTCTCCTTGATATTTTTATTTATGTTCATATTCATTGTTCTTATTTTGCCCTACTTTTAACTGTTTAAGTTCTTGTTACGATTTTATTAATACTTTTCTTGGTATCACTCTTCCCGATGCCGACCTATTGTGGATACTAATTCCGATATATCTACCATATTTCTTCCTTGAATGAGAATAACAAGAGTTGCGCGAATTGCTTTCATTTAATTTACCTATAGAATTTAACCTTAAATATACCTCAGTTATAGCAATACATTTCCCTGTGTTGATGGAGGTCACGTGTCACTGTTATATATTATTATATGTCTATTTTAATAATTGATGATTATAGATGCTTCCCGTTCAACAATCAATAAACTACCTAATAACATGGGAATCCTTCCAGAGATACATTAATTTGCATTGAATGTTACCTGTTTGCACTGCTTGAGCAGTGTTAGCCATTTATATATAATTATTATGTGATCAACATTTTTTTTTCGTTTGACGATTAACGCCATGGAATATTAACACGTAATGAAGGAGACCTTTACTAGTCTGCATTCCTAGTTTTGTCTAGGTATAGTTTAGTGGTTTATGCTGCGTTTCCTTTTGTTTTGGTATATCCTGAGTTCCCGTGATTGTCTTTTGTGTAGTATTTGAGTTCAGATTTTGCCTTTCAGTACGTATGAAATGAGGTGGGGTTTTTTGTAGACATTCAGAAAACATTCAGAAAACAATTCCAGCAGGTGGAATGATAAATTGTATACAAGTTTGCACATATTAATATATTACTTGCCAATATTTCCATGAGTTTGCGTGTCAAAGTCTCAGTTGTTAAAACGTAATAGAAAGTAGCATCGCAAGAAATGAATAATCACATCACTTATACATAAGGACCACATCCAAATTCAAAGCCGATTAAAAAAAAATGAACAACAGGTACTGAAGAGACACCAAAAAGAAAAGGAAAACAGCTGGAACACTGTCAAAAACGAAGGCCAAACAAGGAAGACAAACTATAGCACGCTAAGTCGAATCTATATTCAATTTTGTTATGTATAGGGAATACCTGAACACTTCTGTCATCGATTTGTGTGATGGGTTGATTGATAACAGCTGATAAAGTTTTGTCATAAACATCTGCTGTAAAAAATAAATAAAAGATTTTGAAATAGATATTTTTTATCATTTCGTGAGGATAGGAGTGGAATTTGTTAGGTTCATGTATTATTTATTAATGAATAACACTAATGCTCTAGGCACTACATAAAATCAATCACAATCCGGCACATGATGAAGCCAACAGGTTACCGCGGACAAGATAGAATCTATCTAATCAAATTTGACCCTGGGTGAACGTAACTGGTTCATCATTGCACTTGAATATTTCAATGGTACTAAACGACTTGGTCATACGTGTCCTCCGAGGCTGATTCCCTTAGATACCCAACATGCGACACACTGGAAGGATTGTTTCAGTGTCATCATGAATATTAAAGAGTTATCGCCCTTCAGCAAAGGCGATATCCGGTGACAATGGCTGACATGCAGCACTCAGGCATGCATATTATTAGTTAGGTGATTCAGTACAAAGTGATATTTCATGTGCGTGTCATTGAATCAGCTTAATACACACCTAGGGGCGGATTCAGGATATTTAGTCGGCTGTAAGAGTCAAACTTCCGACTGCAGAGGATCAGCATCTAAATTCTAGCTATAAAACGGCGTCCTGCATCTCAATATCTTCCCTTTTTAGTAACCACTGTCGTTTTCGCCATTTTGTTGATACAATAACGCAAAAATGTTTTTTTTATAGAGTAACATTTACACTAACAAGATCTGCTGATGGAAAACCATGCAATATGAAGTAAAAATAAACCACCGCTTTTGTTACAGAGTTGTAAAGGTTTTGGAAGGCGAGGAGATTCACCAGAAGACTACTCTTCCAGCCAAAATATATCTTTGAACTATTATGAAGATGTCAAAAGTGATACCTAGTGACAACTCAGAGTCAGCTATTATTGAATTAAGGACCCCTGTATCACTGCACTCTGATTCACGTATGCAATAATTCCCCTTTACCTCCGTTGCGATATAACTTAGAACAGTTGGGTCAGGACTCTTCTGACAACCAGGTAGCTCAATTGATAAGAGCGATAGTTTAACAGCCTGTTGTTCGGGGCTCGTTTTCACACTCAGAACACTCTTGTTAATAGTATTTCATTCATTCAATCTTTATCATTTCTTGTAAAATGATTTATCAAAGCTATAATCATGCCGTTCCAATTCTTAGTTACAAATTTTGGCAGTGGTACGATTATCCTTAGCGCTGACATCTCAGAGTCAACGTTTTTCGTATTAATGCTGATAACTCACAGTCACACATGGAAGCTCAATGTTTCAAGTATATTGATACTCTGGAGAGACGCATACTGTTGAAAAATAAGTACTTAGTCAATGTTGTCTACTGGAGAGACTTAAATATACAATAAATAAATTTCACAGCTGCTATTATAATCTAATTTTCAACTTTAATATCTGTGTCTACCACAAAGGTAGTCGTGTCTGTTGGGTTTTCAATCATTGGTTTAAACCTACACATGGAGAGGTTAACGGTTTTAAAGAATGGTATTTTGTATATCTTGGAAATAGTGAAGTTTAATCTGTTCAGGTATATGCTCGGAATTTTACAAAACCCTACTTTTTTTCATACAAAAAATAAGTGCAAAACTGTAGCATAATAGTTGTGTAAGGTTGAATTAGTAAATTTAACGCAGATCTGTTTATATATGTCACGTGGTTGTTTCGAAAGTGATGAGGCAGTGAAGATAACAACAATAGCACGCCGTCATGTGCCATGTCGGACTCAACTAGCGGACAAGACAGCAATGCTATACGTAAATAATTGTTTTCAAAGATCATGTATGATGCAAGTGTAGTATTTCTACCTATATGTTGTTGTTATATATAACGGTATTGATACCTCGTGTCTGTCATGACTTTTGCATGCATCTTTTTCTTTCGCCGCGATGTTTACATTTGGCCTGAAGGTTGTTGATGACGCGCGTGCGGTAAAATTACATCACTGATCTGGGTCAATTGAGAGTTTTAGACTGTCAGGTGACGATTACGGATTTCTTTCATATAATTATAATTTTTACTCTTAGGGATTGAATTTCAGCAAAATTTGTATCGGTATATTTCATAAGAAGGTATTTTAAACATGTATATGCCATTTTAGCAAATATGACATTTTTTCCCCGACCAGCCCCTTTAAGGCAAAACAGAGTACCATGATAAAGGAACCTGCATGTCCCTATCCGGAATGTAATTGATCAAAGCTTGTGTATATTTCACTAACTGCAGTATTTAAAAAAACAAATCAATTGTTCTTCCTTTTTTCACCTTACCTTACAATGTAGAATGCACTTCTACAGCGCCAATATTTGCTATGTTCATGCCTTATCTCTACCTACGACAATGTCCTATTGTGTCTACTCTGAGGCTAGATAACAAAAAAAATATACCAATTACTAACAGAAAACTCCTATCTTTTGGATTCGAGGATCAGATATCTTACAAAAAAAAAGATTTAATGAGATATAAAAGAACATTTGTTTTCAGAAATTCATGTAATTGGTTTTTATTATGGAATTAGTGATATTCCAGCGTCTCTACCTACGACAATGTCCTATTGTGTCTACTCTGAGGCTAGATAACAAAAAAAACAATTACTAACAGAAAACTCATATCTTTTGGATTCGAGGATCAGATATCTTACAAAAAAATTTTTTATGAGATATAAAAGAAAATTTGTTTTCAGAAATTCATGTAATTGTTTTTTTTATTATGGTATTAGTGATATTCCAGCGTCAGTAATTGAAAAAGGTAATATATTACCTTCGTCAGCAAGACAGTTCGTTTAATGTAATGACACATTGACGTCATCGTTTCTGTGTTGGGTAAAGTACATGTAACACAGTGTTCTCTTCTATTACAGATCACTCTGGAGAAATGCTAGAACAACGAGTGACTAACGTTTCTTCTTTAGTACGTGTAATAAATGTAATATTTCTAAACACTTTCTTCATGTTGGTAAGTATGGATTATGAGAAGTTCTTTTTACACAACCAATAAAATGTTCTATGTGACGTTTCGATGACTAGTACGATATGTGCACTGTCACTTTCATCAGACAAATGACCAATGAAGCGTACAGCACGTTTCCAGCGTAGCCGAAATCGACATCGATTTTATGGACAACTCGCACACATTTTACACCTGTGTGTGCATACGCTTCATTGGTGATTTGTCTGATGAAGGTGGCAGTGTACATATCGTCCTAGTCATCGAAACGTCACATAGAACATTTTATAAGTTGTAAAGGACGTAAAACACAAACATACCAAATCTCTGGTACATGTAATATGCTAGTACATTACGTGACATAATGCTCTCTTTCAGGGTTTCTAGGTACCATTGGTAAAACGTTGTATTACCCATACAGATAATTACCAGTCCTTATAGATGTGAGGATAATGTTTCCTCTTGACATAGTGAAATAACACTTCATGCTGTACAAGTATGCTCTCCCCTAGCATTGGCAATCCTCTTATCAATGTCCCAGCTAAAGGTGTAATGGTTTGGTTATTGATACCGATGTATATGATGCAGAATATGTAGCGCTTTATTTTGTGATAACAATTTACATAATCTTTGACTTACAAACCTGAAAAAAGCAATTCCTAGCAAAGATTTTCGAATAGCAGCAACATTCGGGAACTGATATCTTAATTTTATTGTAATGTGTGTTTTATATAAAGCATTTTGCATAAGGTTTAACCAAACCCCTTTAATTAACCCATTGACCACTATCAATGAATTGGACAGTCTACTGTGAATAGCCGGGGCACTATGCGTCAGAGTCATGCACTTCCGCAGAAGCCTAGCGTAAACATTGAGAGAAATACCAAGTGGAATATGATATTGTAATTGTTTGTTGAAAATATGACAGCGTGATTGATTGTTCTTTATTGACAGTTTAACAGTACGATTACAGCCGGAAACGTGATTCAAATGTATGTATAAGGTCAATACCGCCGCTAAGACTGGCCCTACGTACTCTCCTGTGGCCTCTGGGGCTCCAATGTATTGACAGCAGTTGTAGAGGATTTGTCAACTCAACGATATCATAATACCTTAAACCACTTTACTAGCGCTGGTAGGTGTGGTTTCAAAACAAAAAATATTTATGTTTTACTGAAACAATTTAAGGCACATCAAGTTGTACGAAAATATTTTTAAAACAAAATCAAAAATTATCAAGTTATTTTTGTGGAATTAAGGAGACAATGCTTGAAGTTGTCGGCGTAAATCAGGATGCTGTGTTTACCGACCGTAACAGGTTATAGGAAAACGTTGATTTCACTGGCAGTAAAAATATTATGACAGGAAAACAAATATCTCTGCTGCTTTGTAATTTATTTTCATTCTATTTATGATCCACATGAATACAGTCTATTCAGAGATGATTGATGTAGTACCGCCGGGACGTAAGTGTGGTTTGTGTAACAAGGTCAGCCATTGGTCGAGTTGTCTATAACCTTGGCTATTATTGGTCGAATGTCGTTAGGGCTGGTTGCACCAGGTGAGAAGCTGGTTACTCGGTTAATTGAGATATGGAAATATGTCTTTGTGTGATATTTACGCCCCAGTAATCAAAAACGTTGATAACCATGAATAAAAGATGCACAAAAACCTATTACAAAAATACACGAAATAGAATAGCCAAGTCAGCTAAGGTGTACACTAAGCCACGGTAGATATGTAACACAGATCTAGAGCCGTTAAGGGGTTATGTGTCAGCCACCCCATTCACCTTAAACTCCAAAGATAAACATTTTAAAGAAGCTAGACTCTGCCGAACTCCAGTCTCTATCAGCTCTACTGTCCGGAGACCCATACATTTACAAATCCCATCTCCTCTTTTCATGCCATCCCTAAGCATTCGAATGAGATTCAAACCTCTTACTCGATACCTCTAAACCTTGATCCCTTTTTTGTCTTCATTCTCTCATGATCTATCTGGCCTATATATATTACACTCTTTCCTAAACCTGTTTTCCTTGGAAGGATTTCTGTCCCACTACAGCGATATTTTTTATACATAGAGTA